TGGTCTCGCCCACTGTGACATGGTCCTAGCATTGTACACGCTGCGCTCCCCTTAGTCTGGCCAGCCAAAGCCACTTCGGCAGAGTGTCTCAGCGCGGGACAAATGTCTTCAAAACGTATTGCCATCATGCGTCGTGGCATCCAAAAGGATCCGGTAGATCACCAGTTTGCAGGGCAACACCTGGAGCATATCTAGTCACAATGGGATATTCACCCTGGATTGAGTTCCGGGTCCCTCAACAGTGAACATCTTGAGGGCTTTCCAAAAGTAGCTTTGGGGGATGCGGAAGCTGTTGAATTACCGCTTTCCTCGGGCCAGTTTGAGGATGTCTTACTAAAATGGGCCAAGAGGTGAGAAACAATCACAACCTGGTACTAAACCTGTCCCCAACCTTCCTTCATCTACCCGAAGCGGTTCTGGCTCGTTTGAGGCTCCATGCCGGCCTTGGCAGCCGTTTGGCCTGGTGGGAAGTAGGCCAAACAAATCTGGGAGACCATGGGATTCCCATCCCCGTGACGTCCAAACTGTATCGCTCGGAGACTTTACGGCAGCCCGTTACTGGAAACGGACTCGCTGGGGCACAGGGCTGAGAGTCTTGAGATGGGAAACCATCAGCAGCCCTGACAGCAGCAGCACCACGCTCGCCACCTGCGGCAGAAAAACATGTGAGGCAAACAACGAGCTCCCCATGTGTTGAGCCCCAAATGGGCCAGAGATGAATCAAGGCATGAAGGCCTGTTCTGTGGGTCCAGGGCCATCCGATTACCAAGTAAAGAGCCGCATGCCACAGTGGATGTCATTTTGGAGGGCCTTTGTGTGGTTGATTCAAGGGGCAACCGAAAGAAAAAACCATTGACGAGTGCAGGTTGGCATAATAGGCACCCATTGATCCCCAGAGAGAAAAGCCAAGTGGCCGGCCGGGTTCCTTTCGGGGTCATCTGGGTTCCGACCAGTGGGCTTCTTGATATTAGTGCACATAGGACCAAGGAGGCCACTGAGAATCTGCACTAAAAGGAACCTTGAGGGGAGCCATGCGCTTTGCAACTAAAAGGGAAGGCAAACCCTGCGTGAAGCTAGATCACCCTAGGATGTCGCTTGGGAGAATGTCCAAACGGCCGGCCATGTGAAGTGTTCTGTTGCTTCGACTTTTTTTGCATGTTGAGCTGGCCAACATGCAAACATACCACACTCACGCACATGTCACATATATATAATAAATCATATATATATAATGATATATTATCAGAAGGGTACGCTGTGGGACCTGGGTTTTTGCACCCAAGCTGTTTGTTGTGAATCATGTGATTTGCCTACTTGGAAACCCCAAACCGAACAAAAGCTCGAGAGATCAAAAACTAGAACCACGGGTGGCCCGAAAGCATAATGGAAACGGATCAAAGACAAGCAAACCAAGCCGACATGCCGGGATGCCAGTGGAGTGGTTGCTCAAGAGTTGGTGTTGCGTGCGTGCGTGCGTGCGTGCATGCGTGCGTGTGTGCGTGCGTGCGTGGCGTGCGCGCGTGAGTGCGTGAGTGCGCGCGCGCGCGCGCGTGCGTGCGTGTGGGCGCGTGTGTGTGTGTGTGTGTGTGTGTGTGTGTGTGTGTGTGTGTGTGTGTGTGTGTGTGTGTGTGTGCGCGTGTGTGTGTGTGCGTGTGTGCGTGCGCGTGCGTGCGTGGGTGGGTGGGTGGGTGGGTGGGTGGGTGGTGGGTGGGTGGGTGGGTGGGTGGGTGGGTGGGTGGGTGGGTGGGTGGGTGGGTGGGTGGGTGGGTGGGTGGGTGGGTGGGTGGGTGGGTGGGTGGGTGGGTGGGTGGGTGGGTGTGTGTGTGTGTGTGTGTGTGTGTGTGTCTGTGTGTCTGTGTGGGTGTGTGTGTGTGTGTGCGTGCGTGCGTGCGTGCGTGTGTGCGCTGTTTGCGTGCAACACTTAGCTGCTGCATGTCTCAACTCATGCCACAGCAAGTCAAAGCAATTAACGCCGACATGTGTATCTCACACTTGCGCGCCTGAGAGCGTGTGTGCTAGCGCGGGTATCTGCAAAGTTAGCCATTCTGTGAGTGGTGATAAGCTTCAGCTGTGCAGCTCTCTGCAAGGGTTGCTCTGCGCAAATGCTCGGCCCAAGTCTGCCGCGCAACTTGCTCTGCGCGCGCAAGCGCTCTGTGCAAGTTGCGATATGCAAGCACTACGCACAAGTGTGCTGCGCAAGTTTCAACTTGTGATTGATTAGCGGTATAAGCTTGTGCTATACGTTGCTTTAATGTTTGCGTTGCCCATTTTCTGAACTTTATACCTAAACTATAATTTATCCTATACCCTACAAATATGATCACATCAAGGTTGTGCTCTTTATCATGTTTGGAGTTGTTGAGGCACGGATTGGTGTTGAGTCAGTTCGTTTGCCTTGAAGAAACCTGTTTGAACGTCTGCAAAAACAACCATTTTATATGGAAACACTAGGACCCACAGCGTACCCCTCTCTATAGTATACATCACACCCTCTAAGCAAATATCCGTTTATTTTAAAGGTGTGGCATTTTTCTGTTTTCTTCCAGGAAATACCGGGTGAGTTATGATTGTGGTTCCCTCAATATAATCCTTTTGTTGGCTCAGTGAAACGCTCCACGGCCGCCTAGCAATCCCATCCAAGCAAGCCCATTGAGCATGGCACCTGTTGCAAATCACCTGCCGAACTCGAAACAATGGTCAATCCGCAATTTGTTGGGAAGGCTTCCCAGATCGTGGCTCGCGAAGTTGAAAACAGCATTGGAACATGAACTTTCTGACAAGGGCAACAAGTAGTCCCAGTTTACCGCAAGCGGTAGCTGCACGTGTATACACACTGCGCATGGCACTAAGCAATCTGCTTGGGATTGTTTGCGTAAAGCTCACGTCGGATACTTCTGGAGGGCCGTCTTGCAGATGCTCACTTGTTTGACAACCAAGTCCCGTGCTAAAGCATTGATCCCGGAGCTTCTCACAGGCTTGTCTAAAACGTTGCAGGAACATTTTTGGAGCGAGCCAAAAGAACCTAACCCACTTTCAACACTGGGCAGCAGGTAGTAAAAAAGACGCGTGGGACGAACACATGAATGACTGCTTTTCGCAGGGTCACTTTGCAAGCTTGTTTTGGGCAACTCGGGCCTGGAAAGCTGCTTGAGCAGAGGCTGAAGATCCCATGAATTGAGGACGGGTGTGCACGGTATTTTTATGGGATTTGCACGGTTTTTGTACGGGCTAGGAAAAACCTGGTTTTCGGAAAAAGATGGGCTTGCATTAAAGTTTGTATGGGTCTTTTATGGGATTCGTATGGGATTTTTATGGGTGTCCTTTTGTTTTCCGCACGCGCTCCCTTCCAGAAGCTTTCCAGAAAGGAAAGCGGGCACACAGCTAGATTGCGCGAGCAGCGAACTGGATTTGTATGACATTGCGGTAGAACGTCCGAAGGTTTTCAACCACACGCACGCACTACGCAACATGTTTGGCTTGGACTGTGCTTCCCATCGAATCAAGGTTATGAGGAATCTCTGGGCGCTGGAAGGAAGTGCGACTTAGGCTTTGGTTTGTGCGCCGAGCCGAGTAACGAATGCAAGTGCCACTTTGGGATACTGCCTGATGCTTTAAACAAATACAAAAAAAACACAATGCTTGAGCATGATGTGTCAATCACGCAGAGCTACTGATGGTCATGTAGTGAACTGCACACTCCCCTTCATTCTTGAGTTTTGGCTGACCACGCCCTCGCGTCTACCCCTGCCTTTTGAGCTCCAATCTTGAGGAGCAGGGGGCTATCGCGCACTTGGCGGTACAAAAGGAAACCACAAGAGCTTCCCAAAAAGCATCTAGAAACCCAACATACAATTTGGCAGTGGAAGAAACCTGGCGGCTCCTTTCAACACCTGCTCGAGATCCGGCACCTTTGCTCTGTTCTTCAAACATCCTACATTTCGCTTGCGAAAAGTGCCAAAATAAAGGATGTAAGTGAAAAACTAGGGTTTTTCCCTGGAAAACCCTTATGTTTCCAAAACTTGCCCAAAAACCAGGTTTTCCCATTTGACCCTTTAAAATTAAATGATTTTCGCTTAGAGGGTATAGTATAAGTATATTATACATATATATATATATTATATATATATGTGCTGTCAGTATGCGACCCTATATCCAATCTCTAACTCCACTAGTCATCTTCAACGTTAACTGCCAACACCCTGTTGCCTGTTGACGCTCGCGGAAAAAAGAAAAGCCCTCGGGTTGCATGTTTTCAGTGGGACACTCACCACACAAAAAGGGGCGGATGACCCCCGCTGAACTGGAGAAGTGGCAGCTCCTGTTCCTGCGTTAGGGAATGCATTTCCGAGTCTGGGTGTTGGTTGAATGGGCCGTTTGGGGGGGCTTCCCGAAAGTAAAACATAGGCCATGGGTTATATGGGTTGGGCTCATTCCAACGAGACAACTCCTGCCTATCGAACCTGGCTATCCCTCTGCCCCGTTCCTTTGGCCGCTCCCGACTCCGTTCCCGGTGCGCCTGCCGAGGATGGCAGCCGAAAGGTAAGGGTCTGGCGTCCAGGTGCCAAAACAGCGGCAGCCTGGCGAGGCACTGGCAGTGAGCTTGAGCCTAGATTTCACATGGCTCCTGGTCGACTTGTTTGGGGTCCCGAACCCCCCCTTTTTGGTTGGGTTTAGATCCGAACAGCGATAACTTGCCGCGCATACCGTTTGGAAGCCTTTCGGCTCAGGGTACCAGGGCCTGGCGACAGGTACAAGTTGCAAGCGTTGGTATAGTCGCTGCTGTGCGCTTTACCCTCTGTCCAACAATCATGGAAGTGGATGATCGGTGGCTTCCCTAAAAGGAAACCAGTCTTCTGCTACCAGCTTCCATGATTCTTGGAGGGAGGAACTTGAGGAAACGTGTTTGAGGCATGCGCATCCAATATATGAGCCGCGCCCGAACGCATCAGAATGATCTATAGCCATCCAGTTGGTTGATTAACTGAATTGTCAGACCTAGTTCAGCCGAAGCCAGCGCTATGTACGCGACGCGTGACTATCCTGACCAGCCCCAAGAAACGGGGCATGTTGACCATGGTGCAACGGAATTGGCTCCTTAAATAAGAACCCAATCCTTCTCACCGGCCAAGGTGGGTACCCTGTGAGACACGCTTTTGGTGGGTTCCATGTTGATGCGGCGGTCAAACAGACTCACTTCCTGAGATGGGCCAAAACAAGTAACCAAACTTTTTGTTTACCACCACAACGGTCCGACCCCAAAACGTGAAACTCAGGAAGTGAGTTACCAGTGATATCCCTAACAGCCCCAAAGGGAACCCTCTGGATCCCTCTGGAACACTTGTTTTGAACCCTCCCTGAAAGCTGCCCCAAACCATGTCCAACCGCAGCTTCTGCAATGATCCATGCCGGATGCACAGGGCCAGCATCGCCCCCATGGGTGCTGGCACCTGAGGCTCAAGGAAAAGCCTTCCGAACAAAAAAACAACAGAGGACAGCGGGTGGGAAAAATGACTGAATCAACAAAGGAATAATAGGTATTTGGTATATTGAAGTGTTTACTTACTTATGTCTACACGATTATGTAAATGTACGCACCATGGATGTTTCTAAAAAAAATGATTCCGGTCTGAGGGACTTCCAGCATGTTTCCGGACACGGCGTCCATGCTTCAAACACACATGCCATCAAATCGGTATCGGCACATATCACCACTCCGAAAAGGGATCGGCATCTTTCAGCCTGTTAGGAAAGTCCTCGTTGGCCTTTGGCGCCACCTCGCTTCCTGATTCTCAGATTCTCAGGGAGTGACCGAACACCTTCCGGTTCATTTCCAAAGCCCCGGGCTTTCCGATACATGGGTTTCTTGCTTAAAGTGGATTGGGTGGTTTCCCTTGGTCAAATGGAAACTCTTGGTACTTCAGTTTTTGGAGCTTGAAGCCGTAGCCTGGAGTACAAGCTGTACGGAAGGAACACAAAAAACCACACAAAAAGCGGGCGCAAGCGCCAGCATTTGTCCTGGGGAAAGGGCCCAGCTGACAAGCTGCGTTCATCCCCCCGACCTAATCCTGCAAATGCTCAGCTTTCTTGTTGCGAAACAAACATAACGGACCTTTGAATGGATACCCAAAGAAGCATGTCTTAACAATCGTTAAAAAACTTGACTGAACCAACTTTCATCCCCCCCCCCCCGGCGACATGGGGCAAAAAGCTGTTAATCCTCCGATGGGCAAACCCGATTGGGTTTTGCGATTCAAGGTCTGGTTGAAACCTCCTTTCGGCTTCCCTTGAAAGGAGACCAAGGGCTGGTTGTATCGCCCGAACTAGTCACTTGTTGCTCGCCACACAAATGGCCTTCCCAACCAAAGTATGACCTCCAGAAGCTCGGGACATGACTAGTCAGGAGGGTTGAGCAACACTTGCTTCACTGAAGCAACCGCTGGCCACCCTTGAATTCAACAATTAGTCGTTTGACTCGCTGACGGAACCTGGGCGCATTTTTTTGGGGGGACCCAAAATGGATTGGGTTTGTCCGTTGCTTTCCCTTCAAAATCACTCCGAAAATGGGTACCCCCAAAAAACACACCCACACACCCAGCTTCCCTCCAATTGGTGGTTTGGGTTTGTGGTTTGTCATCCCTCAAAAAGAGCAAGGGCTTCAAATCCCCACTGATTGGACTCGGTCACTTCGATGACCTCAAAGCGTGTGCAACCGCTCGGCAGTCGACTTACTTAGAGTTGCCACCAGGCCACGGCTCAGCTGATATTCCATGTTGCCAACATGGGCAGCGGGCTTGGCTACTTCGTGCGTAATTGGCCACTTCCCACTCCAACCTACCAACTCAGGGGTACCCAGTCCATCCCAGCCCCCCACCCGGCCCGCCCCTTCGTTCTCGCGCCGCGCGGAGCGAGTCGGGCCCCGGGCCCCGGTGAAGAACTTGGACCGCGCAAGGAACTTGGAGCCGCGCTCGATGAGAGCCGCATTGGGCCCGCTGGGAACCCCGCTCGAGTCGCCTCCCGGAACGGCTGGGAGACGACAAAAAACCGCCAAGCGGGTTAGAACCCACAAAAAGCGCTTGGAAAAAGAAGCCAAAAAAGCCAAGAAGCAAAAAGGCAAGACACAAAAGCAAACAAGACGACAAAAACACCCATAGCAAAAAAGAGAAGAAGCAACAAATGGGTCCCCTAAAAGACCTCAGATCCCAGGGTTTGAAGTAGGACGCCCAGATCGCTGGCTCTCAGGTTTCCTTTGAGCCGTCTTTTTCTTGGCCCGCGCGCAAAGGTCAGGGAGCCAAGGGCACCAAATTGTTTGAGGCTCAAGAGTGAGCCGGATACTTCCTGCAAACTCGCAAGGAACTCAAAACTGGGGACAGGCTCCTTCAAAGCGCATGCTTTCGTCATTTTTTGGGGCGGCCTTCCTTATGCACCACAGCACATGTTGTCCTCTTCGTTCCAGTCCGTTCGAGTCAACGTAGGGCTCTATGCAACATGAATCACGAAGGATGCAGCAACCCCAGAATGGATACACAACGCTGCCTGCCAAAGGAAGTGTCTGCCATGTCCCCACATTGCCTTGGTACTTGAGGCCAGCACTAAACAAGATATGAGCTACGGTCAAGATTCATAGTATCCCCAACTCGCGCGGAAGTTTGGTGCACCAGCTGCATACGGGTTACTGCCCCATGTCATCCTCTTTATGACCGTAGACGGCAGTCACCATAGGCCATATTTAGAAGGTTGCTCCAATGGGCACAGCCATTTTACGCGGGCACGCTGGTTTTTAGGCGCCTCTCGCGGAAAGTATCATCTTGTTTTCCTCTCAAGAAGACCCGAAGCTGGTCTCAGTTGCCCCTCAGAAACCCACCTTTTGGGACCTTTCCTAGAAGTGGGAACCCAAAAAGGGGGAACCAAAAGGTTAAAGGGTTGATTCACTTTGGACAACTGAGTGGTTCTTCATGTTGGTTCCTTTCAAGCTGCTTTTGTTTCCGGGTAACCCCGTTCCAGTGCCTTCTTTGCATGGATCCTCCGAAACGAGGAATCTCCTTTGGGGCAGCGTTGCTAAACTGCGGGGAGTGGTAGAAGACATGATTCAATGAAGGGACTGTGAAACCTGGATCTTTGAGCTGTGTGTTGGGGCTTATGTTGTTTTTGCAGAGTAGTGGTAGATTTTCATACTGATGACTATGGAATTAGGAGCGTCATAACCACCATCGAGTATAGGGATTGATTTGAACCTCCAGCTAATACGAATCGTCACATCTGTTATTGATCGGATATTGGTGGGCTATATTCCCTAAAGGGTTCATGCCTACTTCTACCCAGCCCAAGTAACAGGATCGTTTGACAACCCAACGGGCTCCATGGCTTCTCCCTCTGATTCGCGCCTGACTTCTCCGTCTTTTGGTTCTCCGGCGGCGCACCTGCACTGCGGTAGTCTCACTTAACGAGTGGATTGGACACAAAGTAGCCAGACTTGTTGTTTGCCACCAAAATGGTCCAGACCCCCAAGTCGTGTCCTTATTTTTTTTGCGGGCTCAACTCACTGCGACCTCCCGCCCTAGTGTCAACATGCAGAGAAATCTCTTGGTGCCCGCCCAACACAAGGACTGATGCATCAATCTCATTGTCCGATTTTATACGGATCCCTGTTCGATAGACAGCCTTCAAATCAAGACCTAGGATTAAATTTATTCTCTTGGTTGCTGTTGACCCCTATGCAAACGGTTTAGCTGTTTGTGGGTTAAATTGACAATCCTTGATTTCCCAAACAGCGAAAGTCTAAACATCCAACCCAATAGCAATCAAGTTATTGTGTCATCATTTTAGACGGAACATTCCAATATTTCACCAAAGGTTGACCCACACGCCCTATATTTCCCCTGAAACATCACCCGAGGAAACTCACAAATGAACCCAACAAATGTTTAATCGAAAACTCAGATGCCTAGTGGATTTCCATTCGGAATTTCGGAAAACAAGAATCGGCATCCTTTCTTGGTTTGAGTTTTTTCAGGAATCGGAACCCTAACCCCCCCCCCAAAAAAAAAAAAACAAAGGCTGAAAAACGGGGGTGACATCACTTTGCACCTGGGCAAAAGGCAAATATGAGCCACAATCAAAACCCGGTACTAAAATGGTGAACCCAGAACCACGCTTCAAGAATTAAGGCGGATATCCGAAGCTATGGCGAGGGGATTGGCCCTAACCGGATCATCCCGAATCGGTTTTTGAGCACGTGGCTCATATGGCTGTGGGTCAAAAATGGGGTAACCCCAAAATGGCTTGAACCCTGGTTTTTTGGAACCCACGACTAAAACCGGCGATCCAATTCCTGGTTTCATTTTGACCACCGCAGCCATATGGGGACTCGCGGCCTTGAAAGGCAGGGCCCCCGGGGGAGCAGTTGAAGCGCGCCAGCCGCAGGGCACACGCCTCGCTTGCCACGCTTGCAACGGCGGGTTGCAACGAAAACGCGGCCCGTTGGTTTTCCCTCAGAAAACCGCAACAACCTGGTGGTTGTTTTGGTGGCCCTAAGATAATTTTCCACCCTTAAGAACTCTTAGCGTGGTTCTTGACTTGAGTTGAACCCATTGTTTTTGGTTTTATAGGCCAAACTCAAAAAGATAAAAGGGCACCCTAGAAAGAACACGCCCATGGATATCGAGGTGTGTTTTTGAAGCTCCCCTGTTCATCTTGGTGCAAACGGAAAAGGCAGGGAAGCGTGTTCTGTGTCTGCCTTCTTCTCGGGCGAAAAACCCCTGTTGACATATGCCCATCTATACTGTTGTAACCTTGACCAAAAACAGGCCAGCATGGAGAACAGCGTGTAAACACAAGCGACTCGTTTGGAACCTTGACCAAAAACATGCGCCAACCTGGGAAGGCCGACAGGCCTTCCAAGGTGAAAATTTGCTTTGAGAAAAACATCGGCGATGTTTTCCCCTGACACATCATCCATCCCAGAAGACTCACTTTGAGCTGGCAACCAAACGTTGATATGTCAAATCACCAAAGGGGGAACTATAGAACGTGAGGACCCCATTGCGGGTACCCGACTTTTGGGGTATATATTTTGGTTGTAGCAAAGAGGCGAGTGAGGGCGGGTCAATAGTTGGGGAACCTCTATGGGGCACTCTCTTTGGCATCCCTTCAAAACAACCCTGGATTGGGGAAGAAAGAAGAAAGCAGAATGAAACTGGGTGTTCAAGGGGAATTTCAGGTATGGTGTTTGGAGGTGTGGAGGCTTGCGTACCACCAATATCAGCTGAGGCGCTAGATAAGGAGCTGCAAAACCCCTGGTGGTTCAGCACGTAAACATACTCCCACGGCTTCCGAACGGATAAGAGGTGCAACCTCTCGTTCCTGCCTGAGAAAGGGAAACCAATAGCAAAACCCATCCAGTCTTGGGGGGCGCGAGTCCTTTTTTGAGACACACCACCTGAAACTGGCTGAAAGCCAACTTCCGTTTCGGCGTCCGTGGTTCCGGCGTTGCGAGTCCCATGTTGAATCCACCGGCCTGGCAGAAGAATACGCAGCTGATCCACAGCACTACGTCCCAAAAGTCTCCTAGCTGCGCACCGAACCGAACCGCGGGCCAAAGATCGGGCAAATGACTCTTCGTCCCAAAGCGGACATGGAACTGCTCCGGGAACTCCCCGGCAACGGATTTTTGAGTGCCAAGCTGAAAAACATTTGGCTGTGGGTCAAAAGTAGGTACCCAAAATGGAACCCTGGTAAATGGAAACACGGACTAAAACCTGCGGTCCATATCCTGGTGGCTTAATTTTGGCCCATACCCATTTGAGAAATGCGTCTACTTTCACCCAACTCGAATCGCTGCCCCTGCTTTTGAAGATTCCGAGTCGGACACGGGGAGCGGATATCGCCTGAACCGGGGGGACAGAGATCGGCGCAGAGCCGTTCAGTCTCAGTACCCTCTCTCAGTACATGGAACCCAGTTGGAAGCAGATGGCTCGGTTTTTTGTAAGGTTGGACCACTGAAAGCGGGTCTCGACGTTTGGGCTTCCCTTGAAAAAACCCACCCCAAAAAGGGGAACCAACTCCAAAAAGATGGGCCATGTTGAAGCTTGGCAACAAACTCCTGCAAACAACAGTCCAAACATCTGTCTCCCTGTGTGGCTCGCCAAGATTTCCGGACGTGGACCCGAAACCCAACCTAAGAAAGGGTATACCTTGAAAAAAATAGGGCTTCTGATATCATGTGAAGGGTAACTTCATGATATACCTAAAAAAGGGTATATCTTGAACCCCAACCTATGAAAGGGCGCACACACACACACACCTCATTTTGTGAACTTCCTTTTTTTCGAGGCTCATCCGAATCCCAGGCTTGGGAACTGCTCAGCCCCCCGATAAAAAAAAAAACAAAAAGGCGGGGGGGGGGGGGGGGGGGGTTACACACAAAAACAAACAAGGATTAAACCAAACAACACACAAACAAAAAAACACGGTTGGATTGGACGCGGCCGACGGTCGATTTGCGGATTCTGCAACGGAATCGTCGTCATGGTCCTGCTTTCTCGTCCGCCCAGGCATAGATCACGATCGCTGGCGCCACACCGAAGTTCACGAGGTCCCCTGATCTGCTTCGATCGGCTTCGATCGAGCACTGCGTCTCTGTGGCCCTTAAGAAATGGTGGGTCGGTACCCAAAATGGTTGGTCATAACCCCCATTTGTTTAGACTTATAACAAATGGTTGATTACCCAAAATGGTTGGTCATGGACCTATTTTCTAAGTTGGTTACCCAAAATGGTTGGTCATGGACCTATTTTCTAAGGCTTTACAAAATGGTTGGTTACCCAAAATGGTTGGTCATGGACCCCTTTTCTGGGTCATGACTCCAGGTGGATGTTTGCCCAAGAACCCCAACTGGTGCTCGTCTCCAAAAGCCCAAGGCAAGCACCAACAAAAAGTCGCATTGCCCAAGCTTGCTGGAGCGAGAGACGCAGGGAATGGAACGACCTATATTCACCATCCATGTGATGGTTTCCTTTCGGGAATCCCCGAAATCGGTTCGTTCCATTTCTCATTCCCTACCTATCCCACCGATCGCGTCTGCGCAAAACACCGCGTCTCCGCGTCGCGCCTAGGCTGTCCAATTCACCTCCGAAGACGGTCACGGCATCCAGCAACCTGCGGTCGCTTCAGCTTCGCCGAATCGGTTTGCGGAATCAGCGGTTTGGTTTAAGGCCTGGTCTCCCGTTGACGAAAAGAGGAGCGAGCGATTTCTATAGGGCGATTTCTATTTGGGTGTGGCTCAAAATGAAATCGAAGGTTTTAGTCTTTGCTTCCATTTGCCAAGGTGCCATTGTGGGAAACATGTTTGTTGACCAGTCATTTTTACTTGCGATAGGATTCCACAAAATCCGCAACAGAACCCCATTCCAAGAACCTGAACAATGATGCATGGGTACTGCTCGCAGCGAATGGCAATAGCAATGGTTGGACCAAACATATATTTTTGCAGAACCCATGGTTCAGCTTCCTTCCAATTGGCTCCTTTTTGGAGCCGGAGCTCCAAAATGGGTGCTTAAGGCCTGGTCTCCCGTTCTCAAGGGCTTCAAATAGAAGCGGCCAAACAGCAACATTTCATTCGCACCCTACCTCAGGGGCAAAACCAAAAGCTGACTTGGTCATTGGTGGCTGATAACACAGCTCGCTACCAGCTACCGTGGCACCATGACAATTACTTCTACCGTGCATACCAGCTACAAACAGAAGAGTGAGCTCGTGCAACGGTCTTCAACAATTGACTGGACAGAAGCATCACATTGCTCAATACTCCAATGGACATGCACCCTCGGGCAATCTGTAAGACAAACCACACTTCGCACACTTGAAGGGGACGATGCTGCGCGGTGTGTGCAAAGGTAGACTGAAGCCCCCAGTGCTTGCCCAGAATACCATGAATTACATATCAGGTGCTACTGTGAACCACTTTAAATGTACATTCCGCAAACCACATTTCCCGCAACCACAATGGGTTGGTACGCGCTGAGTTCTTTCATCAGCCCGAGGCGGGGCTGGCGTGCAAAAGGAGATGGCCCAAGCTGCCTGCCTTAGGGTCGTTCTCCAGTACCCCCTTGCTTGACTCTGTTTTGGGCCTTTTTAGGGTAGTTCTCCGGTACTTCTGGCTTCAATTGAAAAGTACAACGACTAACTGTTTTGGGAGTTACCTCCATGTGAGACGCAACTGAACCCCAATCCTGCGCTATCCTAGTCCCAAATCAGCATTTGTCAAGTTCTTTGCCTCTTCAAAATGAGACCGCGCTAGTCAGGGCAAACAAGAGGCCATCCGGATTTGGCCGAAGAGACCAAGAAGTATTGCTGTTGGGACATGTATACGCGCCACAAAATCATTTTAATGCTGTACAAGGCTTAGAACACATGTCCTGGGCAAAACACCTCACAAAAGTTGAGAAGGACTCGGAGTTGGGCCTTCTAGGTCCCCTTCACATGTCCCCCTGACATTGCGAGCAGGCCAACCACAAGCTGTGGCAAACCACACGGAAACCGGCACTCTCAAATCAAAGAAACATCTCGTACAACACCTGGATGGCTGTTGCCCCCAAACAAAACTCTCACAAAAAGGTCCGTTGGAGGCAGCCCTCGATAATTTCGCTCTGTTTCCCTTGAGGGAGACCAAATGAGCCCTGCTTAGGCCCTTATTTAGGGCCTCATTTCGGGGTCCTTTGGGCTCCCTCCCCCTCCCTCGCCCCCAGCCATGAAACCCGTCCGATTGCACCGGAGAGCCAAATGGTGAGCACCGGCCTGGCCACATGCCCGTCCAAGCCATCGCACACCGCAGCGGCCATGATGAGCCTGAGCGATATGAGAAATGGAACCCTCTGCTATGGTTTTCCTTTCGGGGAATCCCCAAGCGGTTCACTTGTGGCGCATTTTTCCTGGTTGGTTCTTGATGGGCACAAAAGATGAGAAATGGTTGTGACTCCTATGAAACCATCTCCTGCCAAGAATTCGTCTAGGGGCAGCACATTCTACCGGGAATGAGAAATGGAGTGACCAGAAAGAAATCCCATCCAACTGGTGGCTTCCTTTCCGGGAATCCCCGAAACCGGTTCATCCCCAAACCTCGGGCCATTCCGTCATTCCTATCGCACCAGCCGATCGCACGTCTTGGTCATGGTGCGATGCAAGCGCCTAAGGGTGGTCCATCCCTTTGAAGGTCCCAACCTGTGAGACCCAACGCGCTTGATTCGGACGATTGTATCACTTCCCAGGGGACCTTTTGTCGGAAGCGCAGCAACTGGGCCCACGAAACGCCGGTATTCCACAACGCTTTTGGCGCTCATGTTCCAGTCATGCATCCATGTCCAATGTAGTGACTTGTTTGGTAGACAAAGGATGGAACCATTTTCGGGGTTGACCATCTTCGGTGGGGAACACAAAGGGAAAAGGAGTGCCACCGAACAACTGTGCTTCTGCTAAATTCTCAAATGCTTGCAGCACAAAAGCCATGTTTTACAACCAACATCAGAGCAAGAGACTCACAGCCCCGGGACAGGGTCAAATGAGATGCTGCTCAAAGGCGATATCTCAAAATAAGGTGTGAGATGGTCAGCCAAGGGCTGTGAGAAAAACGTCATCTTTACTGGCAGCAACATCACATTTCAAGTTGTGCTGGGTAAAAACTGATCAGCAACCAAGTGTCCGACCCTCGCTGAAGGGTTTTTGTCTGGGAAGAACCAGTGAAAACAGGTTGTCGAACCGCTTTGGTGGTCAATAGGAGCCACCACCAAAAAGGCAAGCTGCTTGCTACAAGGATGCGAAAGTCAAGGCTCAAATATTTCGGGATGAACAAAAGGTAGAGCAACACAGCGGAAATAAATGGTCAAATGGATGGGAGAAAGTGAGTGAACCATTTCTTGCAGTAGGATCCTGTCCGTATCTCCAAGGGCTTGACACGCGACAACGAACCAGCAGAATTGGCCGGAACATCTGCAAATTCATCCAAAACGAA